CTGTTGGATTGGCTGTGTTACCTCTAACCCCACTGGCCAGGAGTCAATTCTGACTAAGAGCGCCCTGTGGGGCAGAGGAGAAGTGTTCCTCAGGGTTTTTGAGGTTGTAAACCTTCGTGGAAGTGGACTGGCTCATCATTCGCCTGTGAAGTGGCTGATGGTTAGCAGCCCAACACTTAGCCCATTGCGCCACTGAGACTGTTGTTAAGTTCTTCTAATCGGTTCTGATTCACAGTGACCCTGTATACGGTTTCTGAGGAATGGTTAGTGGGCTTGAATCACCGACCTTGCAGTTCAAAGGGACTTTGCAGTACAGCGCCTGAACTCACAGCACCACACCAGAACTTCTATCCTGCTGTTGCTGAGTGCCGCTGAGTCGGTTCCGACCCATAGCGATCTTATAGGTTGTCTGAGGAGCGGTTGGTGAGCTTGAACTGCCGATCCTGTGGTTCAAACCTACTTGGCAGCCCAGCTCATTATCCCATAGTGCCACACCAGAACTCTATAAAACTATTCTTGTTGTTAAGTGCCATCAAGTCGGGATCTGACTCATAGTGACCCTGTACAGGGTTTCCAAGGAGCAGCTGGTGAGTTAGAACTGCCGGCTTTAATGGCCCACACTGATGTTGCAGTTCACTGCACTAACCGGCAACGCCACACCAGAATTCCCTAATACTATTGGCAATCGTTTATTAAACGTGTTCTCCCTGAAAATAAGAACTATTGTTCCCTGAGCACTTACTATGTACTAAGTTCATTACTTGTATGATTTCATTTCAATCAAAAGACCATGAGGTAAGTACTATGGTGAAAACTAAAACCAGAACGCAGCATGACTGCCTAGTTTTCCGGGTCTTGTAAGTTCTGCACCTTTGACCCAGTGCGGTGTCACTACTTTCTATTCCTCTTTGTCGTTTTTAAGTTCCCTTGAGTCCATTCCAACTAGTAGTGACACTGCATGGCATTTCCCAGGAGCAGCTGGTTAAGTTTGAACCGCTGACCTTGTGGCTCAAACTGACCTCGCAGTCCAGTGCTTATGCCACTGTAATACCAATTTTTTTCCCCCCTTCTGACAAGTTTCTGCCTTAAACAGGTTTCAGCGATCACAAGTTTTATTGTATGACTGTCTTCATTTTATAAGGAGCTCTGGTAGCGTAGTGGTTACAAATCGGGCTGTGAACCGCAAGGTCAGCAGTTCGAAACTACCAGCGGTTCTGCGGGAGAAAGATGAGGCGTTCTGCTCCCGTAAAGATTTACAGCCTCGGAAACCCTGTGCAGGGTCACTATGAGTCGGAACTGACTCCACAGCACTCAACAACAACATTTTATAGATAAGGAAACAGAAGCACAGAGAGGTTAATTAACCTGTCTGGAGTCATACAGCTAGTAACTGGCAGTACCAGAATTCAAACTGTTGGACTTGGACACCAGGCTCTTGTCAACTGTGTGACCCATGGGTAGGGGACAGGCAGAAAGGAAAGGCTGTGTAGAGGTGACACGTAGCCACTTACCTGAGCAGGGTTTACCTGGTGAGGCAAGGGCAGGGCAGAGCACTGGAGGTAGAGAGCAGGATCTTCAATGACTCGCAGGCGTGGATTTGGCCACAACTCGTGGGCCGTGCTGGTTCTGTGGAGTGTCAGACCAGAGTCGCAGGTCCCAGCCTTGTCCTGGAGTCCTCGTGGGCCCTGCTGAGGGAGTCAAGAGTCTTGGTTGCAAAACGCTGGCCAATCTGAGTTGTAAAATTGCTCCGGAGCCTGTTCCGACTCATGGCAACCCCGTGTGGTACAGAGAACTGCTCCAAAGGGTTTTCTTGACTCATCTCAATGGAAGTAGATCTGCAGGCTTCGTCTGCAGCACCGCTGAATGGCTTCAAACGGCCTTCAGGCAGCAGTCAAGAGTAAACCGTTTGTACCACATGGAGACCTTAATTTGAGCAAAAAAGGAATTTATTGGAAGAGCTGAGGAGTCACACAATGGTTAGCAGCAGACTCAAAGGACAGAAACTAGGAGTCCCTGGTGGCCAGAACATCAGAGCTGAGCCATGGGAGCAAACAGGAACAGTCTGCCATCTCCACAGTGGGTGACCAATGCCTGGTGCTGCCCTCTCGCTGAATCCTTGCTTGAGGTGGAGAATTTGGTTGGCTGAGCTGAGGCCAGGCAGAGGGAAAACTTGCTTGGCCTCTTCACTCCACAGTGGAAGTGGGATACTTGTAGGAGACTGTGACTCCGCACAGCCGAAAACCGATGACCATCTGTCATGCCTGGACAACAGGAAGTTGCCAGAGGACTTTGCACAGGGAATAACAGGACATTTTGATTCTGAGGAAATTCATTCTGGTTTTGGTCTCAATAGTTTAGAGACAAGAGAGGTTGGCAGGAAGGAAATCTGCTTGCAGTCACTGCAACTGTCCAGTGGTAAAGGGCAGCATCCACAGACCTTGGCTGTTAGAATCGGTTAGCCAGGGAGAGGGCAGAGCTGCCCTTGAGCCAGGTTCATGGCTTGTGACAGTAATAATGTTCATGGGATTACAGGAGGAGGTGAGCTGTTGACTTCAGTCATTTGAAAGGCAGTTCTAGACTCTGGTTTTGAAGCTCAGGAAAGGCTGATACATCACCAAGATGGCCCAGAGCTTGATGGTGTCCAGGGAGAGCAAGTCGGTTGGAAGAAGGGTCCAGGACTAAACCCAGGAGTTCTGATGTTTAGGGGAAGAAGTCCCAGAGAGGCAGTACCATGGCCCGAGGGAGGCTGACCAGAGCCCTGGCTGCAGAGGCCATGTGTCCATAGTGCTGGGAGCCAGAGGGAGGTCACTGGCCACCTCTGAGCAGTTCAAGGGATGACAGCAATGAATGACAGGAAACAGAAAACTTTACAACTGAGCTCTGGATGGAAGGAACTATGGTAGAACCTGAAACAGATGCTGGTCAAGACTTTTTTGGGGGACAATAAACAAAAACCTGTTTAGAACTTGCAGGAAAGAGAAGCAAGGTCTGAGGTGAGATGATTGGATCCAAAAACAAGAGAAAGGGTTGTTCTTCAAGAGAGGGAACCCTCTCTGGATAGAGGAAGAGGTAGTACTAGTAGGTAGGTTTGGGGAAGCTGCGGAAGAATGGAACTGAGGAGGAGGCAGAGGAAGCTTGGCTCGGATAGCCTGCCTCAAGTTGCATTTCATGTTCCAAGGCCTCAAATTCAAGCCCTCTGAATTTCCAGGGATAGAGCTGAGAACTGCATCTTTGAGAAGCACCCCAGCCTAACCCCCACATCCAGGCTGGGCAGCTGTGCGAGGCCTCTGGCGCCTCTAAAGGAACCTGAGGGGAGCGAGGCTGACTGGCGAGCAGTTGGTCCTTGGCATCTCCCTGGGCTGCTGGGAGACTTCCACAAGCCAGGGCCAGACACAGGTAGGTGTTGCTTCAGGGTGCTTTTCTCTGCAGTCCTGAGTGACCAGACAGAAAAACAGCCATAGGGAGCGAGGTGGGTTGACAGCCACTCTACAAAGGGACAAGCCTGGTAACAGCTCAGAAGTAGCTGGTTTCCTGGGCCGCCCGGCCTCGGCTCTGACCCAGTAAGACAAAGTCAACAAATGGGCAGAAACTCTTTAATCAAATTTGTTTCACGTTTTTTTAATCATGGTTTTACATTAAAAAAAAAAAAAGCTCCAACATTTCTGTAAGTCTCAGTTCTGTGGGGACAAAAGTCTGTGTGACATCAACTCCACGCAATCTACCCGCCAGGCAACACTACAGGACAAACGCATGTCCCGAGAGCTCTACCCACCAGTGAGGAGAAAGCTTCCAGAGAGAGTCTGGCTCAAAGGGCATTCTCAGGGGGCCCATGTGCAGGGTCTGAGGAAGCACAACATATCAAACATGCCCAGGGATTCACGGACCATGCAATGGCTATTCATCAGCACCTGCAGCCAGGTGTCCCAACCAAGCACTCATCAGCCCTCCCCACACCTCTCTCCCTTCTATTTCCATGAACTTATAAATGTCAAGTGTTACAGTGGCCTGGGCTGCGGCAGGATGCGACAGGTAAGGCGGCCGTTTACGAGTATTGAGAGAAGGGAGAAATCCCTGAGATGAGACCCTCTAACCAATTCCTGGCATTGCTCTCATTTGAAAGGTTAATAAGAAAACTAAGGGGTACAATTTCTATCAAGTTCTGCCCCTCTATGGGTATGTGAGAAAAGCTTCCATGAACTTTAAATGTTGATGGGACCAGGACCTTTCAACTAATCTTTTTCTTCTAGAGTAAACTCAGTGCTTATTGTAAGAAATGGGGCGACAGACAAAAGGGGTCCTCCTTGCCCAGTAGCAGCATTGGAAGGCTCTCACCCCAGCCCTGTAGTCTCAGATGAGCCCCAGGCTCCGCGGCCAGCACACCTTGAAATGCATCCTCTCAGCCCGAAGCAGAAAGGAGAAGTACACAGCACGGCTCTAGTCATAAAAACTTATGGCTGGAGACCCAACGCTCCTTCAAAACATACACTTACAGGCCAAGTGTCCAGCTTCTTCCTCATAAACACAAAGCTCTCTTCTGGACCATCTATATCACCGAAGAGGAACCATATGGAAAGACCTAAAGCCTCTATATACAGCTTGGCTTGCAGAAAGCCACGCCCTCACAGAAGGCAATTCCAGAGGCACCTTCAAAAGCTGACCAGGCCCCTCAGTGTGTGTTTCCGCGGGGGCCCCCTCAGAGAAGCCCAATAGAACCCACCAAGAGCAGAGATGTCCTCACCCCACACACAGGTCCATTTCCCCCTCTGGTTGGATCCTCAGAGGTGAAGAGGAGAGCCAGTGGACCACCGACTAGAAACAGGACCCCCACAAATGGCCAGGCCAGATGGGCCCTGTATCCTGAAACAGACAGTTGTAGCTGCCCGAGCTCCCTCAGCGGTGTACACCAAGTGTCTTCTCCAGACTATTCCAGGGGAAGGGGAGGAGGAAACTATGTGCAGGGGAAGAGGGGAGAGTCTAGCCAGGTGTACCCCCGTTTCATCTCATTCAACCAGGAGATCAAACTGTTCAGCTGCTTCAAACTCGGCATTCATGGCCGCGGCCCACTCATCCAGATCCGATTTCTGGGGGGAGATAAACAGGGGTGGGGACTGGGTGAGTTGAGGGGGGAAGTTTATCTGCAGGAGCATCTCTACCCACGCCCTGCCGGTGCCGCCTGTCCCCCAAAAGGCAGAAAGCAATGTGCACAGTGCAAGGCACCCCTGTCCCCGACTCACCAGGATCTCGGGTATTTTCTTCTTCTTTCGTTTCTCTTTCACTGTTGGGGGCGAGATTCCAGGGAGAGTTGTGTCTGGGGCCCAGGGCTTCACAGAAACACCAGTGACCTCAAATGACTTGGAACACAGGACAGGTGAGACTTTGGCCAACTCTTCTTCTGCCAGCAGTCCCTCAAAGCCAAAGCATGAGCGGCGGTCTGGGGTGGAGGTTGAGTTCAGGGTCTCAAGACGGCTGTAGGATCGCCTGACTTTCTTAGACATCTCCAAGTCTCTGGCATCCAGCTCTCCCCTCCTAGGGCTGGACTCAGTGTCCAAGGACAGCAGCACAGGTGTGGTGGTTGGGGTGATGGGGATGCTACATGTCTTGAAGAGGTCCTCCTTAGTAGGTTCCTTGCTGGGAGGGTTGTTCTCCTTCTCTAAGAAAAAAGCAATCTACACCAGGGCAGGAGAGAGAGGGCTCCTTGTTACTCGATTGTGCCACTGCCCTCCAAGGAAGACCACGGAGACTTAATGCAAGGACGCACCCATGGGCAAACTGGCCTAGTAGCAAATCAGACCCTGAGACAAATGTGGGGAAGAAAGAAAAATATTCCTCCCTGCTTCCGCAAAGTCCACTTTCAGGACTCAAGACTTACCACCATCAGCTCTGACTCCAGAATGTGACCGGAACACAGCCACCAGCCTCTGACTGATGTGACCTCCCAGTACTTGTCATCTAGACCAGCTCAACAACTTCCTAGTGGCTCTTCCGCCTCCCCCATTGCCCTTTCAGGTCCACCTGTCACAGCAGACAGGATGATGTCCCTTAGATATCAATCCGGTCAGTAAGTATTTACCCATCACCGGCTACAAGCCAGGCACTGTTCTAGACTCTGGGAGAACAGCCTAGAATATAGCAGTAAAGCCTGTGCTCCCATGGGGCCTCCGTTCTAGTGGGAGGCAATAGATTACAAATAAGGAAAAGCATTCCCAGGCAGAGGGAACAGAAAGTGCAAAGCCCTGAAGGAAGGGTGCAGGCAGGGTCAAAGCGCAACTAGGCGAGACGCACAGAAGATGAGATTCCAAAAGTAATTGCGGAGGGGGCCACAAGTGGTTTGTAGGACCCTGTGAGAGACACGGCGAGTTACAGCAACGCTGAGAACAAGAATGCACTAAACTGCTGTGCATACTGAGATTCACCTGTGACTCCCATGATTCCACTTCTCAGCTCAATGTCATTTCTTCAGGGAGGCCTTCCCCACCACTGACCCACAGTCAGTCCCTCCTTGCCTCTGCCACAGGGACCACCTTTACTTCCTGTACAGCAACTACCGCTATTCGGTAACTCCATCACCCAACTATGTGAACTGTCAGAGTGGGCTTTCATGTGACTGGCTGACCTTGCATAGCAGGTGCTCAGTCAGCTAATTATCCACAAATTACCAAGGCACACAGACCAGATCTTGGTGCGGCCAGTGTGTGGGGTGGGACAGGACAAATCCCATGATGCTAGTAGGAATATACTGGTTATCATGAGAGAAATTCCTGATTACAAGCCTTGCGGGGAATCATACCTAATAACTACTTCCCCCAGAGAGTCAAGCCATCCTGCAAGTCTTGCAGCTGTATCTGCTCAGCGTCTTAAGACTGTCAGCCCACCAAGGAGAGTGAGCCACTTCCATGGGACATGAAGCTGTCCCAGCATTCGAACTTGTTCTTAGAGAGGAAGCCAATCAACATGTGACAAACCCGCAACCAACACACACAGTCAGATAGTGACAAGGCGTAAGGAGAATTCCAGAGAGAAATGCGACAGGGCTAGAGTAGAGGCTCCCTTGAGTCAAGTTCTATGAGAGTGTGTGTTTTGGGAGGAGAGCAGGGTGGCTATGAGACAAAGATACAAAGTCTCTACTCAGGATTTTTTCTTCTTTAAAAAATAACTCATGGGATTTGCTAGCAACCAAGGTGCATTTTGTTTTCTAAAACAGCCAGGCAACACTTAAACTAGTGCAAATGTCTTGGGGGCCCCAAAGACCACACTTCGCATCTAACTTCAGGGAGCGAACATGATGCTATCAGTTATGCATATTCAGCGATCCAGCCAAACTTTGATTAAGGATTGGTAAGAACATGCATGCATGAGAGGGTGGCCAGTCCCTAAGGACAGCAGAAATTTGCCACCAGAATCTCTCCCAGACCAAGACTGATGCTTCTCTTAGCTCGTATCTTTTCTGGTGAGAAGAAATGGGTACTGATAAGGATACGTAATAATACACTACCGTCCAGTTGATCCTGGCTCATAAGACACGCTACCTAAGGGTTCCAAGGCTGTGAATCTTCTTTCTCCTTCAGAGCGACTGGTGAACTGAAACTGCGGAACCGCGGTAGGCAGCCCAAAACACAAGCCACTAAGCCACCAAGGCCCTAAGCACAGATCACTGTTGTTGCTATGTGCCATCAAATGGGTTCCAAATCACCGCAATCCTGTTTAGGGTTTCTGAGGAGCAGCTGGTGGGCTTGAACCGCTGACCTTGCAGTTAGCAGTCCAGTGCTTATACACCAGGTCTCTTGTACAGACCATGGTCTCCCTGAATTTTGTGAACCGTTCTAGAGAATTAATAAACGCACGGGAACAATGAGACTCTGACTTAGCTCAAACTACTGCCGTGGAGTCGATCCTGACTCCTAGCGAGCCGACGGGACAGAGGAGAACTGGCCCTAGGGTTTCTGAGTCTGTCAGTCTGTCAGTCTGCACAGGAGCAAAAAAATCTCATTCTTAAAGCAGCTGGTGGGTTTGAATTGGCAGTCTTGCCATTAGCAGAATGCTGCCTTAACCACGCTCCCGAACTTAGCTTCAGGGGGCTAATCCAGAGACAGGATTATGGATATTGTTGTTAGCTGTCATCAAGTCAGTACCGACTCACAGCAAAATGAAACACTGCCCGATCCTGGGACAACCTCACAATTGTTGCCACGCTTGAGGTCATTGATGCTGCCACTTTGCCAATCCATCTTGCTAGGGGTCTTCCTCTTTTTCTCTGACTCTCCACCCAACCAAACACGACATCCTTCTCCAGCGACTGGTCCCTCCTGACAATATGTCCAAAGTTTGAGAGACAAAGTTTGGCCATCCTGTCCTCCAAGGAGCACTCTGGCTGCACTTCTTCCAACACAGATCTGTTGGTTCTTTTGGCAGCCCGTGGCACTTTCAATATTCTCCTCCAACACCATAACTCAAAAGCATCAATTCTTCTACGGTCTTCCTAATTCACTGTCCAGCTTTTGCATCCATATGAGGTTATTGAAAATACCATGGCTTGGGTCAGGCGCACCTTAGTCTTCAAGCTGATATCTTTGCTCTTCAACACTTTCAAAAGGTCTGGGACTGTAAAGCCTGGAGCCATTTCCAGGTGGGAACTGGATTCATGCCACTGCTCTAGTGCAGACACACACCACCTCCCTTCAGAATTCCTGGCCAGCCCTCTACCTGGTCTCAGGGGCCCCAGTGCTATCTTTCTCCAACCCATTTTCTTCATGGCCCCCTGAGGTTTTCTAAAATACCCAGGCTTAGCTCCGTTACCACCTGTCTTGTTGTTGTGTGCTGTGGAGTAGGTTCCAGCTCAAAGTGACCCTGTACCGGGTTTCCGAGGCTGTAAATCTTTACAGGAGCAGAAAGCCTCATAATTCTCCTGCAGAACAGCTGGTAGTTTCAAACTGCTGACCTTAAGGTTCGCAGCCCAATTTGTAATCACTATGCTACCACAGCTCCTTTCACTTGACTTAAGACCTTCCAAAAAGCTGACTGCAGGTTCAAGGATGAAGTGCAAGGTCATCAAAACAAACTGTTTTCCCACATACCTAATGATTTTCTTTGGCCTGGATCTCCCTGCTTGTCTTGAAAGACTCAGTTTAGATGTTTCTTCTGAAAAATATTCCCTGCATGACTTGGTCTGGATTAGGTAAACTCTCAAAATCTTGTTAAACACCAATGAGTCAATTCCGACTCATAGAGACCCTGTATAGGGTTTCTGAGGAGCGACTGGTGAGTTAGAACTGCCGACCTTATGATTCAAACGTACCTTGTGGTCTAATGCTTATCCTACAGCACCACTCCAGGATTCCTAGTACTTTGTTAATCCCTCTGGCACGCTGTTGTAATCATGTGTTTATTTATCTTTCTCCCCTATTAGACCATATGGTAGCATAGCAGTTATGAGTCGAGCTGCAAACCCCAAAGTTAGAGTTCAAAATGACCATCTGTTCCGCAGGAGAAAGCTGAGGCTTTCTGCTCCGGCAAAGACTTACAGCCTGGGAAACCCCATGCAGGGTCACTATGAGTCAGAATCAACTCCATGGCACACCACCACCACCACCACCACTATACTGTAAATACCAGGAACTCAAAGGCACTTAGCATATTTTCAGACATGAATTTTCTATGAACAGAACATTGGGGTGTACGATGGCTCTGTAAGGTGAATATTGGGCCATGAACCACATGAGTCCACCAGCCACTCTGGGGGAGAAAAATTTTTCTTTCTACTCCTGCAAAAATTTACAGTCTCATAATATAGTAGTTACGAGTCAGGCTGACAACCTCAAGGTCAGCAGTTCCAAACTACCAGCTGTTCCGCAGGAGAAAGATGAGGCTTTCTGCTCCCATAAAGATGTACAGCCTTGGAAACCCTGTGCAGGGTCACTATGAGTCGGAACCGACTCCACGGTACTTAACAACAACAAACCTTGGAACCGACTCAAAAAGGCCCTCAACAAACAAACAATAGAATAACTTTGGTAATAACTTCTGAATAACGTAGCACAAATATAAAGAAAGAAACAAGTCGACCTGGAAAGAATAGTTAAGACACAGCTTAGATTTTGAAGGAAATTCTAAAACGAAAAAGAAGATGCTAATGTCTGAGGTCTGCAAGGAGTAATTAAGATTGGCAATGCACCTATTCAAACCCAACGGTTTCAAAATACTGCAAAACAGCTCCCTGCGCAGCTGTAAGGAGCCAGTTTGCCCCACCCCCCAGCCCTAGAGTGTCCTGCATTTCAATCCATGAAGCCGCTGAAAGTGAACTTACCCTAGGGCTCCTGCGAGGCGAGTGAACAGCTGGGATCTGCGGAGACAACACTAATTGATCACCTCCCTGGCCCACAGTTTGGGATCCCCATCCCACAAGCCCCCTGCTAGGCCTCACCTCTACCGCATGAGCCACAATCTTCTTCAAGACGATGGGCTTTCTGACTGGGGCCTCATGGGGTGTCTGGAGAGAAAGAAAGGTGAGTATGGGTTTCACATTCGTCCAGGAGCCTCGGGACAAGAACTGAGAAAGCCGTGGCTCACCTTCGGCCGGATTTCGGGGAGGGTGTTGGGGAGATCCGAGCCTGATTTCCGCTGGGATCTCCGCAGAGACCTGGAAGGAGATGGAGACTGGGGCCCTGGAAAGAGACAAAAGGAAAGCGGTAGGGGAAGAGTCTAGACTACAGAGTCTAAGGAACAGGTTCCCAAACAGGCCCTTTAGGGCGCCTTCCCAAGGCCAAGGAGCCTGCTTCCCCCGCGGGGTTTCTGGGACGGAAGGGCCCTTCTTGCCCGAGACTGAGCCACCCAACGGCCCAGCCTCACTGCTCCCGCGCGCCTTCCGCTCACCAGAACTCCGGGCGGCCCCTCTGGACCGCGTCCGCCGTTCGGACATAGTTAGTTTGGAGCTCGATCTCCTCTGCCACCGCCGCCCCCGTCTCGCGCCAACCCGGAGGACCGCCTGCTACAGAAAACTTTCAAATTACCCGCCCTACCAGGAGGAAGCGGAAGTGACGTCAAGCGAGGGCCTATACCCGCACTGCTTCATCCGCTTCCACGTCTAACGTAAGCCGAGGCGTGGCGCGAGGGGCTGCTGTGGCGTCATCAGCGCGCGCCGCACCCGGAAGAGACGTGGCAGCGGAGGGGTAATCCGAGCGGCCGGAGCTAAAGGGGACGGAGCAAGAGCTGTGGTGAGCATAGTTTCTGCCCTTCCGCACCTCGAACCATAGTCGGAACCAGTACCGCTGCCGACCAGAAACACGGTCGGGAGAGGGGACGGTCCAGACTGTAGGGGCGGGGCTTAGAGGGGGTGGGGCTCGGGAGGGGTTCCTGGGGGCGGAACCGGTGGTGTTGTGGGAGAGACTCTGTTGTAAGGGGTCCTGGTAGGAGATGGGGTGGGAAACGGGTTGGGATCTTGGAGTATTGAGGAGTTTGTGTAAGGGGCGTGACCTGGCTTAGTTTGGTTGGTGGGCAGGAACTTGGCCTGGGGTGAATTGAGGGGTGTTAGGAGTGAAAAGGAACAGATTTGGTGAGAGCACAGTGGCAGCCCGCAGAACCTGGCCCCTACCAACCCAAGCCTCTTCCCCAGGGTCAACCATGGGACTTTGCAAGTGTCCCAAGAGAAAGGTGACCAACTTGTTCTGCTTCGAACACCGTGTCAATGTCTGCGAGCACTGTATGGTAGCCAATCACTCCAAGGTGGGGCCTTCAGGGAAATGACTAAATAAAACATGGGTGGGGATGGGGAGGACAGGCAGTATGGGTTTCTTCCCAATCAGTGTCCATGGGGCCTCACATTAGATTGCAAGTTCCATGAGGGCAAGGACTTGGTTTCATTTGTTTACATGGAGTCCTGGTGTGGCACTGTGGGTTAATGCGCCAGACTATAAAGCCGTTTGAACTGCAAGGTCAGTGGTTCAAGCTCACCAGCTGCTCCTCAGAAACCCTATACGGGGTCTCTATGGGTCAGAATCGACTCGACAGCACTTCACAACAGCAACAGCAGTACCCTATGCAGGGTCACTATGGGTGGGACTGACTCAAAGGCACTTAACAACAACAATATATCCTTAGCACCTAGAACATAATCTGGCACATACAGGGTGCTCAATAAATGTTTGTTGACTAAACAAATGATGCGTCTCCTCTGTAATGAGAAGAGCAGTTGGGCCTCCTCAGGGTGCTGGGCTGTGGAGTCTGTTCCACTGTGGTATCTCTCCCACTCCAGTGCATCATCCAGTCCTACCTGCAGTGGCTCCAAGACAGCGACTACAACCCCAATTGCGGCCTGTGTGACTTGCCCCTGACCACCCGGGAGACCATCCGTCTCATTTGCTTTGGTGAGGTCTGGGCACCTTCGGGGTTGGGGGTACCAGAGTGGCTTCAGGGCCCAACTAGGTGACTGGCTTTCTGATCCTCCCAGATTAGCAGGACGACAAGACTCTTCAATCTAAGAGGCCAGAACCCCAGAGTCTAGTTCTATTGGGAGCTCAGGCATGTCCTTTGCCCTTCCTAGACCCCAGTGTCTTTCTCTAAAAATGAAAGCTTCTGATTCCCACCCTGCCAACCACAGAAGCCTGAGGGAGAGCCAGCCAGTCAAGCTCACAGGTGTGACTGCGAGCAGTAGGCTGACCCTAGGAGTTTCAGATATTCAGGATCCATTACTGATTTCAGGACTAAAGAGGAAGAAAGTGAGTTTCCCATGTCCGAATTTGATCCTAAAAAAAGTCACCAGACACTTGGGTGATTCTAGCATAGCAGCTCTCCCTGCAATTTTTGAAGGAGCTGGCACCATAGGATAAGCACTCAACCTCAAGGCCGGTTTGATCCAGAAGGCCAGTGGTTCAAACTCACCAGCCACTCCTCAGAAACCCCATATAGGGCTGCTATGAGTTGGAATCCACTTGATGACACTTAACAACGACAACTCCAGAGTCTTGGTGTGGCACTGTAGATAAGCACTGGACTGCTCACTGCAAAGTCAGCAATTCAAACCCACTGAAGCTTATCCAAGAGCGGTATGAGTCAGAACCGACTGAACGACACTTAACAATAGTATAAAAGGGTGGTTCTCTGTGGTGGGTTTCTGAGCCATGTGGATATGCAGGAACGTGGTACATTTTGCGTCTTTACGTAAGCATTAGCGAGCAGTTGTGTGTGATAAATGGGTACGTGAATCTGAGCACAGGTACGTTCTGGGGGTGCAGGAAACTGTGTAGGTGGACAAGCTGAGTGGTGCCAGCCACGAGAAAATACGTTGCTGCTTCTTGCTGTTGAATCTGTTTCTACTCATAGTGACTTTGAATACACTTTCCACAGTTGTACATCTTTATGGGGATTCAGTCCACTGCAGAAAGGCTGGTGGATTCAAACTGCTGACCTTGCGGTTAGCAGCATAGCACATAACCCACTACACTACCAAGGCTCTTTGAGTTTATGCTTTGTTAAGTGCTGTCGAGTCGGTTCTGACTCATAGCGACCCTGTATAATGTTGCCGAGGCTCAGAGTAAATGCTTAAGTTAGTTGTTACGTGTCGTTGAGTTGGTTCTGACTCATAGTGACCCTGTATGGGGTTTCTGAGGAGCAGCTGGTAGGTTTGAACCACCAACCTTGCGGTTAGCAGTCCAGTGCTCCTATAGTGCCACACCAGGACAACTGAGTTACATGCTAGGGCGCTTCAAAAAAGTTTGTGGAAAAACTCCATCTTTTACTTGTTTTTCCTCGAACTTTTTGAAGCTCTCTCACTGATATGTGTGAGGGTAAAAGTACTTTTAAACACACAAATAAAAAGTGCTACAGGGAATGGCACCTGTATGTCCACAGTGTGCACAGTGTGTGTGCCTGTGTGTATGTGTAGGAGCCTTTCTGGAAACTGTACTTAATTGGCAGTTAGCCCAAAAACAATGAGCACAGACCCAGAAAGGACTCTCTAAAAGACTAGCTGGCAGCTTCTCCACCCTCTGGGGAGCTTGACTGCATCTGCCTTGGCTTAGTCAGATGCTAGCAGCCAAGAAAGACAGAGTCTTAGGGAACGCTGGTGACATGAAGCTGGAATGAGGCTGGGAAGGAGGAGCGTGGGGCATCCGTGTGTACTGGTGCTCCTTCAGTGGGCTGTGGGGCCGGCACTCTGTTTGCTCCTTCATACTCCTCCTCTCCTCTTCATGGGCCCTAAGATCTCTTCCACTGGGCCTGCCTCAATGAGCGTGCCTCCCAGCTACCCCGAAACACAGCACCTGCCGGCTACCAGTGCCCCAGCTGCAGTGGCCCCATCTTTCCCCCATCCAATCTGGCTGGCCCCGTGGTCTCCGCACTGAGAGAGAAGCTGGCTACAGTCAACTGGGCACGAGCAGGACTGGGCCTTCCGCTGGTGAGAGTGCCTCTGTCTGACTGTCCCTCTGTCCTGAGCCCCACCTTGGACATCCCTGGGCAGGCTGGTGACAGGTTCATTCCTCCAGATCGATGAGGTGGTGAACCCAGAACCCGAGTCCCCCAACACTTCCGACTTCTCTGACTGGTCCAGCTTCAATGGTGAGTGCTGACCTCCGCATGCTGTTGGGGCCCTTGTTTCTGTGCTCTGCTGACAGCTCCCTTCTTGCCCCTAGCCAGCGGCATCCCTGGACAAGAGGAGACAGCCAGTGTCTCTGCTGCCACAGCCTTCTACAGCCAGGCCCCCCAGCCCCCAGCCTCCCCAGGCCGGCCAGAGCAGCACACGGTGATCCACATGGGCGGCCCTGAGCCCTTGACCCACGGTGAGCTGGGAGAACAGGAAGGGAGGATGTTGGCTGGTGTGTGTGGAGGCAGCTCAGGGATCTAGAACTCTTCCCAGAGGGATCCTTCCCACTTGTGCCCCAACATGACCTCCCCTCAATTCCTGGGTACTCTATCTAGCTGAGAAGGGCAAAGATCTCCAGCCACCTTCTCCCCTCCTCTGGGACCAGTGTCCCCTACTGATGCTGGTGGCTCCACCCTACAGCTTCAGCCCCAAGGAAGGTGTACGACACAAGGGAAGATGAAAAGGCACCAGGCTTCCAGGGGGACTGTGACGAGGACAAGTACCGCCGTCGGCCTGCCCTGGGCTGGCTGGCCCAGCTACTCAGGTACATTGGGTCAGGGTGGGATGATTTCATGCCAGGGGGGCTTGTTCTGGGTGATACCCACATCTGGTACTGGGGGCGCTACAGAACCCTGACTTGGTGGCTGGAGTCACGGGTCAGATCCTCTCTGGGCCTGTTTTTCGTGCCTCACCTACTACATCTGAGGCTTTCCTTTGGGCCTTCTGAGCTCCTGCCTACTTTTGAGGTATTTCTAGGTACATGGCCCAGTGGGGTTTACGTGGCAGTCAGGTGCCTCACCTGGGTTGCACCTCACACTAACCCGCAGAGTGGGCAGGTGCAAACAGGATCATGCTCTTGGCGTAAGTGAGGAAACTGAGGCTCAGGGCTGGAAGATGAGGGTTGTAATCAGGGCTTTTCTCCAGACCATGGGACCACCTGGGACAGGGAGCCTGACTGGACTTCTCCCCAACCCCCCAGGAGCCGGGCCGGGCCTCGTAAGCGGCCTCTGACCCTGCTGCAACGGGCAGGGCTGCTCTTACTGCTGGGGCTGCTGGGCTTCCTGGCCCTCTTGGCTCTCATGTCCCGCCTGGGCCGGGCTGCGGCTGACAGCGACCCCAACCTGGACCCACTCCTGAATCCTCACATCCGTGTGGGGCCCTCCTGAACACTCTCCTGTGGATGGGCCAGCCTAGGACCTGGGGACCAGAGGCAGGGAAGCCTGGGGCCCTTCTTCCCACCCCTCTCCCTCAAGCCTGAGACACTAAGCCCAGGCCCCAAGGCAAGTCCACAGAGTGGCTGCAGGTGGGACCTGGAGTCCCCAGAGCCCAAGCACTTGTCCTGACTTGCGTCCCCTGGGCCTCCAGCCTCCCATCCCACCTACGAAGAAGCTGACAGGTGGAAATAAACAACAGACTTTATTGAAACACCCGAGCCGCCTTTTCCTTCCCTCTTCCCAGCCCACCCCTGGTCCCAGGCCTTAGTGGTACTCCTTCCGATACTGGATGGCCAGAAAGTCCAGGGACAGGCGGATGAAGAACATGATCCCATTTAGCACTAGACGGAGAAGAGACTGCTGTTAGCCTGACACCCTGCCCTTCCTCCTCAACACCTCTCAGGCTTTGAGAGCCCCTCCTGCCCCTTAGCAAAATGCTCCCACCCCCAACTCACTCAGGATGATCAGAGCAAAGCAGCGAAGGTATTTGTCACCTGTCAACTCAGCTTGGAGTGAGCCCACGGCAGCCCAGCAGATGCTGATCACATGGGAGAACTATAGGCCCATACAATGGGAGAGTGGTCTCTGACACAACAGTGGGGTTGCCATCAGCCCCTGGAAGCTCCCCAAGCCAGCCCTTGAGCCCCTGACCTTACTGTCAGGACGATCGTATAGTTGAAGCTCATGCGGTCGTAGTGGTAGGTGATGTAGAAGTTGTTCAGGTCGCTGGCGAAGACGCCTAGGTGTATGAAGAAGATCATCAGTGCCGCCACGGTGAGCACCAGGCCTTGTGGGAAGAAGAGCACGGCCAGGCGGTCCCGCCACCGCATTCTATTGGGTGCAGGAAAGCCTGAGTTACCTCCTATTCTAGAGAGGACAGTCAGGAATCCTAGCCGGGTTCTAGAACCAGGAGGACTTGGAAGGGGTCAGGAATCCAGAATGCAGTCTGGGTCAGGATCAGTGGGGGCTCATCCCTTGGTGAAAGGACAGCACCCTTGGGCTTGGTGCTCTCCAGTGTGTCTCCTGAATCCATCCACAGTCCCACAGGTAGGTGGGCATGTTCTGCAGAGGAAGAAGGGTGGCTCAGAACAGTTGAAGTGTGGACCTGGGAGCAGTCTCAGGATCTCACTGGGAACCAGGTATACAGCAGCAGGGCACTCCCAGGTATACTGAGGCCATGGGCTGAATCCGGAGTTCCAAGTAGTTGCTCCAACCCCTGATGAGGAGTACCTGAGAAGGAACAGTAGAGTGGCCATGAGCGTGAAGTCTCAGTAACTTCGCCAGGCTCTCCCAGATGGGGCTCAGGGAGCAACTGGCTCTCTTTCATCCTCTCCCAGATGATCCTTGAGGACTCCAAGCTGACCCATGCTCTCCTTTTTGCTACCGCCATCCTCCCAGCAGCTCGGGGGTTGCTGGGGCTGGTGGTAGCATAGTCTCATTGTGAACGTGACTGAGGCACAGAGGGACTCTTCCTCGTGCCTTCCTAGCCAGTGAGTGATGGACTAAGGACTGAAACATCTGATTCGACCTGAGGCTCATGCATGGGCAATGGGAGAGGAAAGTCCCCTATCCATTTAAGAGGTGAAAACGCAACAAAATAAGCTGACAAAAATAGACTGAAATAGATAGTAGGATATTTGAGTATTATAAGCTCCTAGGAACTGAAGTAGAAGGCAGGAGAAAAGGAACTTTAATGCAGGACCCAGACACCCAATTATCTCTTGCCTGTTAGCCTACCCTGAAAACTGCTTCCTAGGTCAGGCTAGTCCTGGAAGTCCTGTCTTCGAGAAGCTGGGCTAAGGGTCCTGCACCCATCATTTGAGCTAGCTGTCCAGTGAGTGTTATGAATCACGACTGTCCCTCAGATTCCCAGCCTTAGTGCATTAAAGGGGTGATGCCCAACGGAATACTATGCAGCGCTGAAGACAAATCTGTGAAACCCCTTATTTATAAACGTGGATGAACCTGGAGGACATTTACACTGAGTGAAACTAGTTAGTCACAAAAGGACAAACACTGTATGAGAGGAGCACTGTGGTAAAAGTTAAGGAAAGGTTTTCTTGCTGAAAGAACAAGACTCTGTGTTGGTTCCCAGGGCTGGGAGGGAAGGGACAATTAATTATTCATGGGCTAGAGGATAGACACATAAGTTGGGTGATGGAGTAGGCAGTAGACACCAAGAGAGAGGTTGGCAGAGGAAAGAAGGTAGTGGAAGACACAGGGAGGAGTGCATGAATGAAAGTGAAGAGAGGTAAATACTGTTAACTAATGGCACCTGGAGGGAATTGCGATCGTTGTAATGACTCAGATTGTATGATTTGTTAAATATGGGTCTGATGAGCTGTAAATCTCCACTCAATTGACAATAAAAAGTTGTGTGTGTTTTTTTTTTTTTAAAAAAAGAGGCGATTTCCTCAATGCCCAACCTTGGTCCCATTGCTGAAAGTTGTTTTCACTTGTCTGTGCCAAAAAAAGTTGGAAGACAGCTACCTGACCAACCAACTGGAAGAGACCCATTCCACTCCAAAGATGAGCCAGCAGTATGCAGGAATAAATTATCAAACAATATCAATCCCACATACAAGTAAACTTTTGCTGGAGATACTTAAAAAAAATGGTTGCAGCAGTCAGTACATTGATAGGAAACTGCCAGAAATTCAAGCTGGATTTAGAGGATGTGGAATGAGGGAGATCATTGCTGATGTCGGATGGATCCTGATAGAAAACAGTATCAGAAAGATGTTTACTTGTATAGACTGTGTAAAGGCATCTGGCGGTGTGCATTCTAACAAACTATGAATAACGGTAGGAGGAATTGGAATTCCAGAACACTTAGTTGTGTTCATAAGGAATCTGTCCACAGACCAAGAGGCAGCAGTTTGAACAGAACAAGGGAATATTCAATGATTTAATGTCAGTAAAGGTGTGTCAGGGTTGTATCTTTTCACCATACTTGTTCAATCAGTATGCTGAGCAAGTAATCTGAAGAAGCTGGACTATATGAAAAAGAACAGGCCATCTGGATTGGAGGAAGACTCGTGTATAACTTGTGATTTGCACTTGACTCAATTTTGCTGAAAGCGAAGAAGACTTGAAGCACTTACTAATGAAGATCAAATCCCTCAGTATGGATTACATCTCAGCTTAAAGAAAACAATAGTGGTCACAAGCAGACCAGTGAGCAATCTCATGATACACTGAAATACTGTAGATGTCAAAGATTTCATTTTATTTGGACCCACAATCACTGTTTAATGCAGCAGCAATCAAATCTCATTGCACGAGGAAATTTTGCTGCAAGACTTCCTCAAAATGTTAAAAAGCAAAGACGTCACTTTGAGGACTAATGTGTGCCTGATTTAAGTCATTTTCAGTCTCATATCCATGCCAGAGCTGGACAATGAATAAGGAATACCATAGAAGAATTGATGCCTGTTGAATT